GGTTCCAATTGTCTCTCTTTGCAGTATTTGGAGTAGCGAGACCACTTATAGATGTATGAACGGCGTGTGGACGTTCTATGCGCTGCCTCAATAAACTTCATCACCGATTGAGGCAAAGCAGAAAAATTCGTCAGTGGGCCTGGAGCACCCGCCATGCGGTCAACTTCAACTTGTCCACCTCCGGATGCAAAACCTGACCCTCCTGTGTGGACAGAAGATCCGCCCTGCACGGTAGACGTACAAATGCCCCTTTGGCCATCTGGTGGAGGAGAGAAAACCACGGCTGTCTCGGCCACCATGGTGTTATTACTATACATCTGGCATTGTCTTCCTGTATTTTTGCTATGACTCTCATCAGAAGGGGTATTGGCGGGAAGGCGTACATCAACCGACCTGACCATCGTATTAGAAAGGCATCGCCCAGACACCCGCTCTCTGGGCGGGCTCTTTGACGAGCGCAATACATTGGGCATTTGGAATTGGCCTCCGTTGCAAATAGATCTATTTCTGGAAACCCCCATGCTAGAAATAGTCTGTGTGCCTCTTGAGAATGTAGTGACCATTCGTGATGCACTAGTGGGTTTCTGCTTAGCGCATCCGCGAGAGTGTTTTGTTCCCCTGGAAGATGACTCGCTAATAGATGTATACCTCTCACTATGCACCATTCCCAAATCTGTAGTGTTAGTCGTAGTAGGTCCTTCGAATGTGTGCCTCCCTGTTTGTTTACGTAAAACATCACTGTAGTGTTGTCCGTAACAATTTGAATCACCTGACCCAGAATGACCCTCTCGAAGGATTGCAGAGCCCTTTGAACTGCGAGTAGTTCTAACATGTTTATGTGCATGCTTCTTTCCTGCCCTGACCATACACCGTGTGCAATAAGCCCCTGGGAATGGGCACCCCATCCAGTAAGGGAAGAGTCCGTAATGATGACTCTGGTAGGGTATAAATGGTGGAATTGGAGCCCCGAACAGACCCATGCCTCGTCCTCCCAACACGCCAGTGATTCTCGGACCACTGGTGGGAGGAAAAGTTCCATCTCCGGTGTGTTCCTCAATGGATCGAATACTGAGAGGAACCATGATTGGAGGATCCTCATTTTGAGCCTCGCGTAACGGTTGACTGCGGTAGTGGCTGCCATGTGACCCAATAGTGTCTGAATTTGTCGTGCTGTAGAGCAGGGGGAGAATCGTGCCTGCTTGACTAACACTTGCAGGTTGGCGAACCTGTCCTTCGGAAGAAATGCTTTCCCTGTAGTTGAGTCCAACAGAGCGCCGATGAACTGGATTTTGCGGGTCGGAACTAGGATCGACTTCTCCCTGTTGACCACGAGGCCCAACGACTGGAGAAGAGACAAAATGGTAGATACCTGATCTTGCAACTGTCTACATGATCTAGCTACTACCAGCCAGTCATCTATATACGGGTATACGGTTATTCCCTTCGTTCGAAGACACGCGGCCACAACTGACATACATTTTGTGAAAACACGTGGCGCTGTCGACAGACCAAAGGGAAGTACATTAAAACAAAAGGCCCTACTACCTACCATAAATGATAGGTATTTGCGGTGATGTGGGGCGATTGATATATGGAAATATGCGTCCTTTAAGTCTATTGACGCAAACCACGCTCCACTAGGAATAAGTGGCAGAATTGTGGATAATGTAACCATCCGGAACTTTTTTGGAGTTATGTGGTTATTTAAAGCTCTGAGATCCAGAATTGGACGTAAACCACCTCCACGTTTATTGATCAGAAAATATTTTGAGAAAAAACAGAACTTAACATCATTAACCTCCACAGGAGAAATCGCCCCCTTTTCCAATAACATTCTCACCTCCTCCAACAGTGGGACTGACTCCTGAGTACTTTTAACATTACCTACTCGAGGTAGGTCATCAAATTCAATACAGTAACCTGAACCAACAATTGACCTAACCCATTTGTCTGTGGTGATACTACACCAGGCAGCATAGAACGAACTTAGTCTGTCTCCAAACATAGGTACTCTAGGGTTGTAACTTGTTTGCATAGTTGTATTAACCTTAACCTTAACTCTAACCGCAACCGTGCTGTCTCCCAACGGGGGAGTAACACATTCCTCAATGTTTTCCGTACCTCCGACGTCAAAGACGCTTTTTCTGGTTGAACTGGCCCTTGGGCTTATTTTGATATGGCTGTGTTCTATTCCTAGGAAAATATGAAGCTCTTTTTCCCCCTTGAAATCTAGGAGAACCGCTGCCCCTATTTCTAAAAGGACCAGTATAAAAATTACCGTATGGTCTACGGTAATTAGCAGACTGATTCCATCTTGACCTCTGATGCTGGTAAGGTTGCCACGTATAGCCGAACTTATTTGCGGCTTGACGTACATCCTGTTTTTCTTTTATGTTAACGTCAGTGACCGGATTAAAGAGCCCTGCTTCATGAAAGGGAAGGTCTTCTGCCAAAGCCTTCCCTTCTTCGGATAGATTGGCCGTCCGCAACCACGCATGCCGTCTTATAGCAGTAGCTGTACCGAATAAATTCCCTGCCACCTCCGCTAAGTGCTTAGCGAAGTCTTTTTGAAATTTGGAGAGTATCATGGCCTCTGCGTGGAGGGCTTTTGGGAGAAGCTGACCATCCCTTGGTAGCGAATCTATACTAGGCAAGATCTTATTCCATAAAAAGGACTGATAGCCACTCATATATGTGGCGAAGTGGGCCATGCGGGTAATCAACCCAGCCGCTACATGTGCCTTTTTGCCTAAAGAATCGATTCTCTTGCCTTCCTTATCCGGAGGCGTAGTTAGAGTGCCCTTAGGGCGTTTTGATTTCACCACCTCCGCCACTACAGTATTAGGTTTCGGGGGAGTGGTCACCCATCTAAAAGCTGAAACGTCAATTTTATACAAGGAGTCTAGCCTTCTAGGCACTGCTGGAATCATAAAAGGAGAAACATCTATAACCTTTGCTAGTTTCAGTAAGTAAGGTAATGCTGGCAAGGACAACGAAGGAGTAGCATTCTGTTCTTCGGAAGGAAACATTGGGTCATCAATGTGTTCTGGTGGCTTTGGAGCTGGGATACCAAGCTCCCTTAACATTCTTTCCATTAACGCATGAAACCTACTGAAATCTGCAGGCTGTACCCCATTACTCTCCTCACCCCCCAATGCTTGAATAGTATCTGGGGAATCGGAGTCTGATGCCGAATCATTCGGGTCATGTGCTACAGCATCAGGTACATGCTCCGGTAGTGGTTGTGTTGGCAACAAATTTTGGACACTATCCAAAAGAGGCGTAGATGCTGCACCTACAACTGTATTATTTGCTACATGTTCCCTATGCAATTGTTGCGGTTGCATTTGTGCCACTGCAGCATCATGCTGCGATAGTCTTATATTACTATTATTCATTGTACCCATTGCAGTGTTAATACTACTAGCAGGGACAGGAGCCACTGAAGCACCTTGTTGTGATATCCTCCCAACGTTAGGACTCAATTGCGGTATAATGTCATTATTGGTAATAGGTGCCTGGGATGTAGTGGTGGCTACACTTGCATACTGTTCATTGTTCAAAATGGGAAATCGCCCCTGCGCTGGAGGTGGTCTAGATATCGGCTGCTGCACAAACATCACTTGACCGTTAGGTCCCATCTGCCAAAGCCCCGAGAAGGGCAGAGTTCCATGTTCAAATCTCCTCCAGCGAGCCGAGGATCTTGAGGATCTAGAATGGCTGTGTCTCCTCGAACGGCCCGAAGAGGATGAAGAGGAGGACGATGAAGTGGAGGATGAAGAAGAAGAACGTGAGCGTCGGCGTCTTCTCGATGTCGAACGGTATCGACGCCGCCTGGACCCGTGGTGCCTCGATGGGGACCTTGAACGCCTTGGACGTTTGCTAGAGCGGCGATAAGTAAAGGCGGGCCACGATCTCATTGAGGGCTCCGCCATCCCAAGCGCTGTAACGCTTGGGCGCTGCTCTTCCTGACGAGAAGCCTCGCCTCCTCTTTGGAGAGGCTCCTGTCCTCTATTCTCGGCATCGCCCTCCAAAGCCGAGCGAGGCGGCGCCTGTTCAGTCTCCCTGGTGCTGGGAGGTCCATTAAACACGCCCTCGAAGGCGTGACTAGTAGAGGGGAGGGCTGGGTTAGACTCAGAGGCGGGGCCGACATCGGGTGTGAAGGGAGCTACTGTGCAGACTCCGCCTCCCTGCGCGTTCGGGGACGGCATCGACATCGCTCCCTGCGCGTTTGGGGATAGCAAAGGCATCGGAGGGGTCAGACCATTGGTCGTCGCCCCTCCATTGGCCGGCATGCGAGGAACTCCTCCGTCAGCTGGGAGAGCGTTAGTCGAAACAGGGCCTGAAATGCCTCCAATAATCAGGTTTGCCGATTTATTTGGTTTTTCGGCCCCTTTCTCCTTAAAGGACATATTCACAGTCTTCGCTGTAACTTTCTTCGTCGCCGCCGCTTGGCGGCCATTTTGGCCGCTATTCTTGAGTTTTTTAACCTTCTTCTTTCCTCCCAATGGCAAGGAGGGTTGGTCATTAGGGACTTCAGAAACAGGCTGGGGTCTCAGAGCTTTCTCATAAAGCGCTGCTCTAAGACGCGACAACCTATTTTTCCTCGTTTGAGGAGTGAAAGCTTCACAAATCTCACAAGCTTGAGAAAGGTGCCCCTCTCCCAGGCATTCAAGGCATAGAGAGTGCCCATCCGTGTCCGGAAGTATATTTGGGCAGTTCCTACACTTCTTAAAGGCTGTAGTAGCCATATTTAGTAATTCTCTTCAGTGTACTTGACGTTAAGAAACGAACTGGTTCCGTTGCTGTTTGCTATTAGCGCGGAAAGAAGAGAACTGAGTAACGGCCACTGCCCTGGGCTATATATAAGGTAGGGGAGGGGGCGCGTGGCCGGAGGGATTCTAAACGGTCATTTTACTTTTAAAAGGTTCCGAACGCTGGGCTGCGCAGGCGCAGAGTTACCATATGTGCGATTCACAGGATTTACGACAGGAAACCACTTTGATGAGAGGACTTCTGGTAGGACTTCAGCACCTACCTCCTGTTATCTCCATCTTATTGCTCTGCATAATTTCTTCTGGTAACTCTCTCTGAAACAATAATTGCCCCTGGATTAATAATATGCCTGGCTCCCTCCTCTGTCTTTCCTAAATGACTACAAAATATTTAAAGAGCAAAGTGCTGGAGTTTTAAATAAACATACAGATCATTGAGGCAGATTATGGCCTGCCCTGGATGTAACAAAAAGACAACATTACTTAAAATTATTATTATTATCATTATTATTTTTAGACCGCCCCATCTCCCCAAAGGGACTCAGGGTGGTTTACACATACAGAAGGAAACATTCAATGTCCGGAATATAACAAAACATTACAACAATAGAAAATAATATATTTTACTGTTGTATTCCTATGTTGTATATTTGTATTGTTGTATTGTTGGGCTTGGCCTCATATAAGCCACCCCGAGTCCCCTTGGGGAGATGGTGGTGGGGTAAAAATATTTTTATTATTATTATATTATAATACAAAATAATAACAGCATTATAATAATCAAATAAAGTTGAATATCAAAATACAGACACAAAACCGCTAATCAATAAACAAATACAATTTAAATGCATAGCTATCAATAAGACATCTAACATAGCTAGCACTATTAAAAACTGCTGAAGAATTGACTGTTATAGTTGTTCTTAACTGTACCATAAAGACCATGCAGTACAGATAGATCAGCTTGCTTTCCAATGGCATTGCTAAAGTGCCTTAATCCTCCTCCTCTTCCCAATACAGAGTACAGAGGTGCGTTAAAACTACAGTGAACCGTTCAAAAGAGAGAGTACAATGGTTTGGACATAATGATAAACATATCACAGGCCAAATTGTGATATTCAAAAGCGGAGACCAGTATTAAGCAGAATTGCAACCACATTTAATAAATGAACTGATAAGGAGCAGCAAGTTCTTTGCATACCATACTCACAGGGAAGCCGAGGTTTGCAAACTGTTTCACAAATGGATTAATCCATGCATCCTCTTGCTTGTTTCCATTTTTCATTGTTCCCTAAAAAAAACAAAAGACACACAGACATCTGATTATTAGGGAGAACGTTCCTTTTGCCAGACACCCCCCCCCCCCCAGCGCTCTTCAGCAGAACAGTCAGAAGGAACAGGTTTAAGACCAACTCCACATGGATTGTATGCAAAGAGATCTTCCTGCGTTTGGAAGGGAAGGCCATCAATGGCTAAAGGAAGGCCAAAAACTGCCTGGTCTGGATATCTACATATTGCCTTGAGGGCAGAGAGTCAAGTATTATCGTTTTACGTAGTGATTATCGAGGCTCTTTAGTTTTTACCCAATTTTGTACCCCAGATGTTACTGAATGACAGCTCTCATCACTTCTGGTTATCTGGAGATAATTCTGGTGTGAGAGAATTGGCCATCTGCAAGGACGTTGCCCAGGGGATGTCCAGATGTTTTGATATTTTACCATCCTTGTGAGAGGCTTCTCTCATGTCCCCGCATAGGGAGCTGGAGCACCAGAAGCAATTTGCTCTCAAAGTCGCTCCTGACACACACAAAAAATCTGGAGATAATGGGAATTGTAACTCAATAGCATTTGTGGCTCTGCGGCTGGGAAAAGCCTAAAAGGCAGTTAAAGTCAGACATATCTGCAAGACTTATCTGTACATTGAAACCCCACTCTCCAGACCAAACAGAACAAACTGCAAAATGTTCCTGGATCCCAACTCCTATGAGCTCTAGCCATGACATCTAATGATGAGTAATACAGGAGTTGGGAGTACAGGATCAGAAGGGCCACACAAAATGGCAGGGAGGGCAGGACTTGGCCTGCAGGCTTTGAGTTTCACCCACATTAACCTTCATCAAGACTGGAAGAAAGTTGTTCCCAAAGTCCTCAGCCCAGCCTCACCGATTCTCCCTTCTGCCCACAGCTCTTACCTTCGAAGGCAGCTTCCTTGAGCTCGGGGGCCAGGGAACAGAGATGCTGGGATCTTGCACCGAGTAGCTGTTCCACGTCCCAATCTCCACATCGTCCTCTTCTTCCCAGCCAGATTGGTGACTCCCAGCCGAAGGCATACTGCCTCCGCACCAGCCATCCGGTACATGCATGGTCTTCGGCCCTGAGAAACAGGAAAATGCAACCTATCTTTACTCTCTTCCATGGTCAGCCGTATGCCACAGTCATTGCACAGGCCTTACTATACGAAGTGGCTCACCAAAGCCACCGACATCATTCCTGGGCACAAAGCAGCACCTACCAGACTTATTGGAGGCTTGGCGCCCGAGAGAGGCGTTCCCCCAACTGCTGCTGCCCATTGCGTCACCCATGGACTCTCCCCAGCTGCTCCCGGTATCCACAGGTTTGCCCCATGCCGAGGTGCCATTATCTACGGTAGCAGGAGGTGGAGCAGTCTCTCCCCAACCTTAAAAAGAGATCCAAGTAAATCAGCATGTCAACCCCAAAGCTTTGCATTACTGTCAAAAACTGCCTGGTCTCCTTTTTGCAAAACTCTCAGCAGGACCTTGCATAGCAATTTTATTTCATACTGCTAAGATGCCTTACAAACACCAGAAAGGAAGGTAGGAACCAAGAAACACCTGTGAATATGGAATAAAAAGTATCATAACAGATACTGGTGGCCTCCCTGCTTCACTAACCCCCATGCCTGTTCCACAGGGGCACCATTCCTATCTTAAAATGACAGGCCTTTTACAAACCTTGGGATTCACAGAGGCTGCTTCTTTTGTGCAGAAGGGAAGGGGAGAACCAGAGCTTACCGGATCCACTGCTGTTGCCTCCTCCTCCTCCGCTGCTGCCATTCTCCGAAATGGGCCCTGCACCATGGAGTGGCACCCCCTGATGCTGCGATCGCTGTGCTTGCTGCTCCGAGAGGCGCTCCCCATTGTGCAGGGTGTTCTTGTTCCACATGTTCACGCTCTTGTAGTTGTACTTGCTGGGGTCTCCCCAGGCAGAGGTCCCGTCGTCAATCTCAATCTTGCGACGGATGGACTCTGGGGAGGGCTCCTCCCAGCCGGTGGGCTCTTCCTCCGTCAATGGGGCTGGCACCGGTCCTCCCATCCATCCTGGGGGCTTCCCAGTGGCAGCATTGGCTTCTGGGGGCCCCCAGCATCCAGCAGTGTCTTGGGCCTTGCCCCATTCTGGGGACCCCGGGGCCTTGGGAGGCTCCCCCCAGCCCTGGGCTTGGCTCGCCTTGGGCGGTTCTGCCGCCCAACCTTGGCTTTGGCTCAGCTTGGCGGAGTCCTCCCAACCAGAAGAGTGGCTGGGCCTGGCCATGGGGCCCCCATTGCCGACTCCGTTGCCCCAATGTGTGCCACCGCCTCCTCCTTTGCCTGCTCCCTTCCAGCCAGAGGCTGTCGAACGGTCACTGTTGTCGCTGCTGCCAGAGCTGGACTTCCTCATCTCGCCCCAGTGATTGCTCCTTGAATTCTCCCCCCAGCCCTCAATGGCTGGAGGGTGTCCCCCTTTCAGCCCATCTCCCCATCCCTGCTTGAGCTTCTCCGTCTCGCTCCAAGTCGAGGACCGTTCCTCTTTGCCACCACCGCCCCATGACTGATTGCCTTTGGCCGGCGCTGTTCTCGGCCCTTCCTCTCCCCAACCACCTTTTGGGTCTCCTCCCCAGCGCGTGGCAGGCTTTGGCTCTCCCCACCTGGAACTGTTTGGGGTGGGCCTCTCCACCGCTGCCGCAGAGCAACTCCCCCAGGCCTCCGTCCCATTGTCGGCCCTCTTCTCACCCCTTGGGGATAGCTCTGTCTCCCAGGCTGTGTTCTGCCTGATGGGTGTCTGCCCCCAGCCAGCGTTGGAGAGCACTCTAGGGTCCAGGTCCACCCTGCTCACGATGCTCTGCAGCAAGGCCTGGGGGTCGGCCTTCCACCGCTCCCGGCTGGTCCCCTCCCCAGAGGGCTTGTCCTCACTGCTATCTTCACTGCTGCCACCAGCACTGCCCTTGGCCCAGCTCCCACCACCATTCTGGCCCATCATGGGGAAGTTGGGCACAGTGGTGCTGGCGTTTTTCTCCTCCTCCACTGATTTCCATGTGTTTGTAAACTTCTTCCCGTTGGCGCTGAGGCTTTCGGAGGCACACTGATTGCTGGGCAGCTGGTGCCACCCTCCGTCCATAGAAGTCCTTGTCCCTCCTCCTCCTCCTCCTCCTCCTCCTCCTCCTCCTCCTGTGGGTCCATGCTCCCAGGGAGCGCTTTGGGGGCTGCCCATCCCCGCTGCCTCCCAGGCCCCGGTCCCCTTCTCCCCGCCAGCGTTGGCCTTCTGGGGCTGTGGGGGCATGAGGAGAGTTGCATTCACAGTGTCGCTATTGGCTTGGCTGCTTGAGTCGAGGCAGGCCTCCCCAGAATAATTGTGGGTGCAAGCGCCACCCCACAGAGCAGCGGTGGCAGGGAGGCTGCCAGTTTTGGCTTCATTGCTGCCTCCGCTGGAAGCACCGTTGATTATTGAGGTGGCCTGGGGCCAGCTGCTCTTGGCACCCGCTGCTCCCCAGGATCCGGGCCCTGTATGGTTATTGTTACTGTGACTCGCCAGGTCGCTCACCTGCATTGAACTGGCCAGATTTGGTAAACTAGAGATGGCAAAGTTAGTAGTGTTATTATTATTATTTGGTCCATTGGCTTCGGGGATCAGGTTCTGGGGCTGACTGCCCCGCAGAGCCCTCCGTGTACCATTTGCTTGGGAGTCGCTGTTTTCTGTGAGGCCATTGCCCCAGGAACCGCCAAGGCCGGCAGGGTTCAGGCTCTGAGGGTTTGCCATTGGGCCCATACTGCCCCCACCAGACCCTTTCAGGGAAGGTTCACTGTTCTCCAAGAGAGGCCAGGTACCGCGGTGGCCATTGGCATTCAAAGTGCTGGGATTGAGCTCTCCATTAGGTGAAGCAAGGGCGCCCCAAGCATCTGCTCTGTTGCTGTCCGTCGGGCCATTGGGAATGTCAGCAGAAACTGGGCAGGTGCTCATAAGAGCTCCGAGGGACTGTCCCCATGATGACCGGCCCAGGTTTCCCTTGCTCATGCCATTGCCATTGTTGCTGCCGAACTTGGACTGAGGGCCATTCCGCAGACCAGAGGCCATGATCAGAGGGTCCTTCTCTGTGTCAGCCTTCTTCCCCAGCTCTGAGTCACTGCCGGTGGCAACTGAGAGCCATGCCTCCTTGTTGGAGGTGTCTACAACACCACTATCCCAGTTTATGCTGGAGTCGCTATTGGAAGAGGCTGTTCCCCAGGGGAAGCTTTCATAATGGGATCCTAGTGTGCTGTGGTTTGTATCTGGGAAGGGAAAAAAAGGTGTTGTTATTAGGCACAGCACCGAAAAACCCTTCCAACAAAGTGAACAAACAAATCGGACTGAAAAATAGGGATATCAAAAGCCATGTTGACTGGAGGCAGGGGCTTGCCAAAGGGCCTGCAAAACCACTGTCTATATATTTCAGATCCAGAACGGCTAAACCACATAAAAGTTGGCTAGGAGAATTCTGGCATTGTATGCAAAAGAAAGAGAATGAGCGGACTCTGATGTGGAGACCCAGCTTCCAGTCGGCATCCAATGGGAAGTTTGTCCAATACCCGCATGACATTATTCCCTTCGGGCTCAGGATACTGTTTGAAGACATTTCATTTCTGGCTGACAGTTTCAAAAACACTTGATTTCGCTATTTCTGTTTTAAGTCTTGCAGTTGTTTTTGGTTTTTTCATGAAATCTAGAGCATTCGTTTTAAAAATCAATAAATGAAGCCAGCAAGCCTAAGAACATTACTTTCTTATCTGTCCTCCGCTCCCCCACTTTCTCTACTCCTGTATTGACATTAAGATTGCAATGTCCTTTGGACAGGGATCTGTCCTGCTATTTCCCAAAACACAAACTGAACTCGATAAATTAACCATCGCCTGCATTACATTCCCCCTTCCTGAAGAATGCATTTTTATCTTTTGAACTTTTCATTTGCTCTCTTGTTTTTACTGTTGTGATACTTCTCCTGGAGCTGTGGAAGAGGTAGAAGGTCCTCGTTTGGGAGACTTGCAATGCTCATTTTCTAATGTGCCAAGGACTGGGACTAAACCTATACTCATTGACTACAAACACTGATTTCTTTCTTCCCTGAAAGCTTGCAGTGAATGTCAGCTCAGGGATTGGCACTGGTCCAGGGACCCTTGCTTTGAGGAACACTGCTCCAAGTGACCCTTGCATCACGATTGCCAAAGATGGAATTGAGGAAAGCCTTCCTCTCAACCCACCTCTGAGGAAAAGCAAGTGATCTCAATGAAGAGAGGAGAGAGAACATGTGCCCCATGTTGGAATACAACCCCACACTTTAACCCCGGTGGCGCAGTGGGTTAAAGCCCTGTGCTGGCAGGACTGAAGACCAACAGATCGCAGGTTCGAATCCGGGGAGAGGCGGATGAGCTCCCTCTATCAGCTCCAGCTCCTCACGCGGGGACATGAGAGAAGCCTCCCACAAGGATGATAAAACATCAAAAATCATCCGGCATCCCCTGGGCAACATCCTTGCAGACGGCCAATTCTCTCACAACAGGATGCTCCTGACACGAAAAAAAAAATCCACACTGCCCAAGTCTCAAGTTCTCAACGAGAAGTTAGCTAGCATAAGAATAGTCTGAGGGTACCCTTCCCCTATGTCTCCTGCATGACCGTATTTTTTTTTTTGTCATGTCAGGAGCAACTTGAGAAACTGCAAGTCGCTTCTGGTATGAGAGAATTGGCCGTCTGTATGACAGTTGGGAGTGTATCTTTTTCTTATCTCCTTCTGCTCTCATTCTGATTGGTTGTGTAGAATGGATACTTTTCTACTGCAAGCCTTTTAAAAAAAATCTGACTCCTGCTTCTTACATCTTAGTATGTGCTGTGTGCTTAGAGATCTCTCTCTGCTTGCGTATCAGGAGAGATGTAGTGATTGGTGTTTTTCCCCTCTTGAAACTTTAGAAGAGATGGGTGTTAGAGTAGCAAAGACCCAGTTCTTAATTATCAAGAAATGCAGTTATTTTTAATATTGTAAACAAACCTTTCCTGATTTTTAAAGGTTGGACTCTGCATCTTTGCCTGCCTAAGCTCTTAATTCTTTACAGCCACATCACATGGCACTTCATGCTCTGCTAGTTATGAGCTGATGCTCAATTATTGTATCCTGTTTAATTTTTGGATGCTCTGCTATTTTAGGGTAGTTTTCCCTAACACCCCAAAGTTCTGCCATACACGGTTCATGGTATGAATCTGCCAAGAGGAACCATGGCTCTGACAAGACCTGGCCTGCAGGAAGCCATAGAGGGGAGTTAGGTTTTGACCCACCCTTATTTATTTATTTATTTATTTATTTAAAAGGCACCCCTGGAGGCGCAGTGGGTTAAACCGCTGAGCTGCTGAACTTGCTGACTGAAAGGTCACAGGTTCAAATCCGGGGAGCTCCCGTTGTTAGCCCCAGATTCTGCCAACCTAGCAGTTTAAAAAATGCAAATGTGAATAGATCAATAGATCAATTACCTTCTCCGGCGGGAAGGTAATGGCGCTCCATGCAGTCATGCTGGCCACATGACTTTGGGAGTGTCTACAGACAATGCCAGCTCTTCGGCTTAAAAATGATAAAAGATAAGCACCAACCCCCAGAGTTGGACACAACAGGACTTAATATCAGGGGAAAACATTTACCCTTTACCTTACCTTAAAACATTTATATTCCGCCCTTCTCACCCCGATGGAGACTCAGGGTGGAGCACAACATACAAACAGCAAACATTCAATGCCGGAACATAAATAGAGTATACACATACATAAACATTAAAATCATTTCTCTCGACATTAATTCCAGTTTCAAACTGTCTTTATCACTCTTCCAGAGAAACCCCAACTTGAGGAAGTACAGGAAGGGCCCCCTCCTGGCTGATGCCACCTTTCTCACCTGGCTGCTTCCTGTTGCCACTTTGACTCTCGTCACCCACGGCTCTCTGCTCACTTGTCACAGTGCTGCTCAAAGGTTTAGATGCCGGTCCCAGGTTCGCCGCAATCCCTGGGAGCGGTTGCCCTCGCTTCAAGAGCTGCTTCTGCTCCTGGTGCCGGAAGCGTGGAGGGACTTCGCGGGCCGGGTAGCGAGGCAGCGATGGCGGCTGGGCCAGTAATGGCTGCTGCGGTGGCTGCTGCTGCTGACTGATACCCAGAGACCGCTTGGCATTATTATTATTGTTATTACCACTGCTGCTACTGGGTGCCGGCAGAGAATTGGCAGCAGCGGGGGCAACCGGCAGCGTCTGGCTCACACTGGGCTTTGCTGGTTCCGATGCTACTCTCGACAAAAAAAGGAAGGAAGGGAGAGTAGAAGCCCATTAGTGGTGCTGAAAGGCCACCAAAGAAGAATCACATTTCTCTGAGGGGCAAAACACACACAATCATAGCAAAAGAACACAGCCTCCTTCCACAAACTGCCTTCTTGGACTAAATAACAGCTGGACTGGATGCAGACAGTTGTGGACTTTGATTTGTTACAAGGGGAAGGGGGAAAAAACTAGCATAATAATATCTTACAGGTAACTCAGGAAACTCTGCACTAAGACACTTTAATCTCGATCAATTGACATCTATTGGCAATATATCCCATAGGCATAATTTGCACATACTCCTGCACTTTACTGCATTCGGCACTTTAGTGATCCTTAAGAACTTGTAACCTATACCTATGCTGCTCCCTAGCCATCTGCACTTTGCACTTTTATTTGCACTTTGTGGGAGTGGGGGAGGGCTAGAAGGGATTACAGAATGCAGGAGGGGGGAGGGTGATAAATGGGGAGAAATGCCAATCATAAATGAAGATCGAGTGAATCGATTAACTACCTCAATGCTACAAAGAGGAAGAGGAACAATTGTTGGATTGGAGGGAGGGGGGAGTGCCCACCAGGTTTTTCCGTACAGCACCAGCCGAGACCTGGAGGACGGGGAGGCGGGGTTGCAGTGGTCTATAGGAATTCCATCTCCCTGACCAGGTGCCCCATCCTGCAGTCAACCATTTGTGAATGTGTCTACCTGAGGGTAGGTGACCGGGACAGAATAGGGATTCTGTTAGCGTACCATCCACCTCGCTGCGCTACAGACTCCTTATCTGAGCTAGCTGGGTTGGTCTCGAGCCTGGCGTTGGAGTCTCAACGGCTTATTGTGCTGGGGGACTTCAACGTCCATGCCGAGGCCACCCTATCAGGAGCAGCTCAGGACTTCATGTCTTCCATGGCAACCATGGGGCTGTCCCAAATGGTATCTGGCCCTACTCACAGTGCAGGACACACCTTGGATTTGGTTTTCTGCCAGGGATGGGAGGACAGTGACGGTATTGAGGAGTTATCTATTACTCCGTTGCCATGGACCGACCATCACCTGATCAGGTTTAGACTAACTGCACCCCATAACCTCTGCAGGGGTGGAGGACCCATTAAGAAGGTCCGCCCTAGGAGACTTATGGATCCGGATGGATTCCTGACGGCTCTTGGGGATTTTCCCGCCACCTCGGTTGGTGATCCTGTTGATGCCCTGGTGTCCCTCTGGAATGGGGAGATGACTAGGGCAATAGACACAATTGCTCCGGAACGTCCCCTCTCAAGTAGCCGAGCTAAACCAGCTCCTTGGTTCAACGAGGAGCTGGCAGCGATGAAGAGAAGGAAGAGGAGACTAGAGCACGTGTGGCGTTCGGACCCGAGTGAGTCAAATCGAACACGGTTTGTTGCCCTTCTAAGGGCATATGCCGCGGCA